CCCCAAAACCCCAAAACCCCAAAACCCCAAAACCCCATTATGCTCCTTAGAACTGAATAGTTCTTAATTAATATCTGTAATCTGTGGCTCTTATCACTTGCTCACTGAGTGCTCTTTTCACATACATTGGAGAACCTTTTCAACTTTCTGGAGACTTTTCCTTTGGAGCAGGAGATTCGAACGGATCGTTCTGCTCATGGTTTGATTCTTGTTCTATTTTGAAATCATTTTCTTGTATTTCATCAGTGAATTTTATTCCAAAATCACACCTTTTGATCCAAGGTGCTTCTGGCTTGATTCCACCAAGATGCTTCAATGTGAGTTCTTTTTGCATCTGAATTTCGTCAACATTCGGTATCATATTTGGAGGCTTTATGAAAGGAATTGAGAAACTTGGTCGAGAGAAGATAATTGTATTGCTGATCTTGAGTTTTACGTGAGGAAACTTTGAACAAAGCCTATTATTTGTTTCAAAAGGTTCGATGAGCACTTCCCCTTCTAGATCCAGTCATTGAGAAGATAATTCTGGATTATTTGTATAGCTTTTCATGAAATCTTTCTTTCAAAGGTCAAATAATTCCTTTTCTTGGTAACATAGACCTCTAATCAGATAGAGTTTTGACTTGTATCTCTGAGGCACTGATTCAATGAGTTTGTTAGCATATTCTATTGATTTATCGATATCTCCTTTGCACAAGTATCACAAAAGTATATTAAAATAAGTTTCATTAGAGTTAAAAGAGCATAGTCCAATATCTGAAAGATCTGTTTGGGAGCTCATATTAGAGCTCTTAGGATCACTTTTAGTTGCCTTTTGATATGATTTATTAATACTTTTAATCCTGCTGCTTATCTCAAAGTCTTTAATAGCCTTTTGGTAGTCTTGGTTATAAAATCTCATTACTCCTCTATAAAGGTAATAATCTTCAAGGTTAAATATATTTTCTCTGTAGTAGCTAATTGTATCAAACTCGCCAGTATGATCATCTTCTTTCATGTGTTTACATTCTTCGATAAGTTCATGAAGACTTCATTTTCTCTCCTGGATTGCACTGACTGCTCTAGCCTTTTCGAGCCTAACTCTGTTTACATTAGGAATGATTTGGATACTAAGTGGGCTCTCTCATTTCTTAAATTGATAAATAGGATTAGTAGTTGAGTCAAATGATGATTTCTGAGGGTTAAAGAAATCTATGAGCTTGTCCATTGCTTTAATAGATAAATCTAATACTTCATCATCTAAGCTTATATCCAAGATAATCTCTCGCTCATTTCTTTGCTCGGCTCCGTTCAGAGGAATCTCTTGAGATTTAGGAGTACAGTTTGATTCTGACTGCTCTTCAGTAGCTTTTCCTGTTTTACCAGAGCTAACAGTTAAATTTCTAAGAATTTCAAGACAGTCTATAGATATAAATTAGCAAAGTTACCTAGATCTGGGAAGGATAGTTTCTCCTCACTCGAAAGTTCGACTACTTTCTTAATTTCAGAAACAGCCTCATCAAGTTCTGTAAGAGCTGCATAACATCTTCCTCTATGAAAAGCAGCTTCAGCAGTTTTCTCTACTACATCTGCATTTAGGTATGCTTTTGTGGCATCTAAATATGCTCCTGTTGTCATCAAAAGATTTCCCGCATGAATATGAACTTTAGGATTTTTGGCATCAAGAACTATTAATTTTTGGAAATCCATAAAGGCTTGTGTATTATTCCCAACAAGATAGGAGCATTTGCCTCTTCATAAATAAGCATCTGTACATTTTTCATCAAGATTGATTGCAATTGAGAAGTCCTTTATAGCTTCATTAAGCATACTCAAACATGCAAAAGACCTTCCTCTTGCAAGGTATAAACTAGCTCCTGGCTCATCATCCTTATCAATGGCCATTTCAAAGTCAAGGAGTGCTTCATAGAAGGAATGAAGATAATAATGAAGCAAGCCTCTATAATAGTAAATTACAGAATCTAGTTTTCAATTGCTGTCGATAGCTTGATCAACAATTCCCTTTGCATTAATTAAAGTCTCTTTCTTAAAATCATCATCAATCCATTGATTATGGTTATCTCTAAAGCATTTTAGGATAATATTCAAGCTTTGCAAGAGATAAGGATCTTTGTTATCAGGAAATTTAGATTTGCATAATTCAAATAGATCATGAGCTCTAGTATATTCCTCTCCACTTTCTGTTGCTAGAACCCCTTCTGCAATAGTTAGATTGTATTCAGAGGCTCTTTCGAAATGATGCCCAAATGATTTAGCCTCTATCAAGTCATCATATCCTTCCTTATGATTTCCATTGAATAGATGTCCATAGGCTCTATATGTGTACGAGCTATGAGTCAGGACACTAATTGTCGGCCCCATTATCTTTCTATCAGTTTGATCGACCTCATCTAATTTCTTCAGCAGATCGGTTAAGAGCTCAACTCCTTTATCTCCTTGTCTTTTGATAAGGTAAAGAACACCTTCTGTAAATTCTTTGTATAGGATAAGTCTCTTGGATTTAAAATCTTTATCTATAGCTCTCTGAAGGGTAAATGAAGCTTCATAGAAGTTTTTCTGTTTGATTCTTATCTTAGCCATTTCATAAAGAGCATTTCCTGAAAAGTATTTCTCATCACTAAATTTTAGGACCTGTTCAAAATGTAAAATTGCACTGTTTGTATCATCAAGTTTGGTGTAGATTTTTCCAATGTAATAATTTGCTTTAATAGTACTTTCTTCGAACCCATGGATAGTTTCAAAGTCAGCTTTGGACTTAAGATATTCTTTCATGACGAAATAAGTAATTGCTCTTCTTTCAATAGCAGTCTTATAGAGAGGATTTCGATTGTGCTTAAGTCCTTCATCTGTGATGATTCGAGTGTATCACTTTACTGCTTCTTCCATTTTACCTAACTTTTTCAGTGCATCACCTTCACCTAGATGTCCAGCAGTCCTATCAAGTGAATAAAGACTGAAAATTCTAAAATCGCTAAGTGCATTATGATATTTATTTTAGGTAAAGGTAAATATGAGCTCTTGCTAGATAAATATCTGAGAATTTTTCAATAATCTCAAGGTCATTTTCCTTCTGTTTGTAAGCCATTGCTAGCACTAAATAAGCGAGTTGCTTGTAACTAGGGTGCTTATGGAGGGTACTTTGAAGCTCTTTATGGCTATCCTTTGGGTTTTGGATCTGAAATAGTATAGAACAGTTGGTATCAATCAACTTCAGGGCCTTTGTCAAGTGACCTATAGCCTCTACAAATTTCCTTTGAGCAATTAACTTCTTGCCATCTTCAAGGTAAACTCTAATCTTCTCTATTGATTTTTTATCGATGTGACTTTGCCTCTGCATCTTTGAGTCAAGTGTATGGAAACTGCTGGATATTTTTGATTTATTTTCAATTTTCTTTGTATTCTTGAAAGTGTTGATTCTTGTCAAGGAGGTCTGCTTCCTCTTCTTTTCAGACTCTAGGAGCTTCTCTGCATTAAAGTGACTGTTTGTGCTGGTAGTTTTTATTCTGGATTTGTTTGATCTGCTCTTCTGACGACCATCTGAAAATTTCCCTTCAAAATCTCTAGAGTTCAGCATCGAGTTGTTTAGTGTTTGAAACTGAGAAGAAAAGATTGGCACATTAGAGTAAGAGTTTAGGCTAGTATCATTAAGATTCTCTTTTCCATGATTTTTGAGAAGTGAAGTTTGATGCTCTTTATACACCGAAAGAGCAGAGGAGTTGCATCTCGATCCTCACTTCTTTACTTTCTTGTTAGATTTAGAATTGATTCTCTTTACCATTTTATTCCTTTGCCCATAAGGGAGCCCATTTGATAGCATTGTGATATATTGGTTAAAATCTGAAACTCTGTTTGAATTAGAGCTTCCTGATCTTAAAGAAGAAATTCCATTTCTGCTATTATTTGCCTTTTTACTTGCCTTAAATTTACCAGTCTGAATTGGGATCCTGATATCTCTTCTGTTGCTAATGGTATTCAGGATTTTATCGCTCATTAGCGTATACTTATTTTTCATGTATGTTTTACCCTTGTTCCTACTCTTTCCTTTTATCTGGTAAGTATCTTTATCTATCGAGTTTAATCAGCTTTTTCTTCCGTCTTTTGAAGTTGCATTCTTTTTAAATATTCTTAAAAATCTTCTTCGGGCATCTATAGGCTCGAGATATAGGTATAATTTGAATATCACTTACTTTATGCTATTTTTATTTTTGATTGTAATTCTTCTGAGCGATAATTCTTGAGTATTGGTCTCCATAGCTATCAACAGTCAGACCTTCAGTAGTTTTATAATTATCCAGAGCTGATCTCCCTCTCTTTGGGTACTTAAAATCAGACATTTTGTAAGTTTCTAATTTAAATTAATTATAAATACAATACTCTATTTTAAAATACTAAAATTCAATTTCAAATGATTTCCCTGGGGTTTTGGGGTTTTGGGGTTTTGGGGTTTTGGGGTTTTGGGG